TATATATGTGTGGCATTTCTTGACCTTTAATTATTTGATTTTGAAACCTATTTAACTTTGTGATGTAGGTGTTTTTGTGGGTTTCATAGTGGAATGCCAGACATTTTATGCATGTAAGGAAAAAAAAAAATCAGTAAGTGCAACTGTATGACTATTCTTCTGATTTTGTCCAAAGGTCCCTCCCTCTGTAACGCCAGCCAAACTCTCCTAGTAGCACAAGCATCTTATTCAGCTTTGTTTTGACATAGAAAGACAAACCACTGTGTGCTTTGGCCTCCCCCACCTTTTATTCATTAGTTTCATTGAATTTACTATTCTCATTTTTTGTAGGAAAAAAGTACTTTAAAAATATATTTTTGACCCTCTTAAACTTGTTATTATGCCTATTCTTATGAAGAATTTTAAATAGCATGTAATTATAAAACACTGCTAAAACAGGCTTGCCATGCAACAGCAAAAATATTTAATTATGTCCCTGTATGACTGGAAACACTGTAAACAACTAATATCCCTATTTGCAGAGACAGAAATAACTAGCTCATTCAGCTATACAGAAAAGAAGACATAAAAGGAAACCCAAGGCTAAACCAGAATAAACCACTGAAGATTTTATGTCAACAAAACTGTATTTAAATTAAGTAACATCAATTCACTATTTTGACTATAAATGAATCAGAACATTGAAAAATGTTTAAGGGAACATTTGCCATCAAATATCTGTGACCAGATCCCATGCCAAATTAAGTCAATAGGAAAGTTCCCACCTATTTCATCCTTGCATGATCAAATCCACACAGTAAAGTTGCTTCTATAGCTTTAATAATACTTCGTAGACTTAGATTTTCATAATGAGAATAGAGTGTTGCAAGAAAAACACTGAATAAATGACTTATCAGTAAGACACTATGAAAATACAGCATGTGATGACATAATTAAAGGTTGCATCATACTACATATGCACGAAGGAGCAAAATTAAGATTACACAGATAATTTCCATTCTTATGTTTTATAATTTTCTGAATGATTGACTTCACAAGTTTTGTTTATCATTGTTTTTCCATTTGCAGAAATGTGATTTTAATGTGTCTTCATTTTATTCAGTGCCAAGAGTAAAAACAAACAAACAAAAACCACCCAAAAACCTCAAAGAAGTGAATTTCTAAGCTAGTTGAATGATGGGAGATGCGCCAAGAGTCACCTTGTTTATAAATTAAGAGAAATGAAGCAGAGCTGTTCTGCAGTGGGAGTGGAAAAGGAAATAAACTACACATTCAGCAACTACAATATATTTTCCAAATACGGACAGAGAATTCACTTACTCAGTAATTTTACAATGGCGATAACAAATTAAAATTGTGGGCAGACAGCAGAGAACCTAGAAGACATACAATCCATAGCAAAGATCAGCCAAATTAGGGAGAGCTTTTTTTTTTTTTTTTTTTTTTTCATTGTCAGATTTTGAGTAATTAGTACTGCCATTAGAGGCACAGCTCCAGCTTTAAGCAATTTTGAGTAATTAATGCTTAGTTATTTTGCCGGGAAGTCCTGACTTCAGCATTCTCTTAGGATATGAATTTTCCTAGTCAAAGCTCTACAATACAGATTAACCCAGCTAGAAGACAATTAGAGTAGGCAGATGAAGATGTAATTTGTTGGTCTACGCACTATTTCTTCTAGCCATGAATCTAATTTTTATCAGCACATCAGACTGATTTAAGTGGATGAATAGCCGTGATTTTGTCATTTCTTTATCCATAGAATTGCCTATGCTGCACATGCCTTGAGATTTGAAAATTCTGAGTGACCAAATACAAACCAAGATGAATGATGTAACAGGTTACATCTTTCTGCATAGCTCAGACCAGCTACAGGAATCCAATAAAGGTAATGACATACTTAAATTAAAATAAATCATGGAGGAAATCTTGCTATCTTTACTCATTATGCAATGTAAATTCCTAGATTATAATGCTGAGCTGAGTGGGAAGCAGAAGCTGCCCAGGTGACTAGTATGTGGAAGAGACTGAATCTGATTGCCAGAGGTGCTATCACATTTGCACATCGTGTTGGGTAAACCACCTGCGTCCTCACAATCTCATCTGTACAATGGGCCTAACGATCCATACCTCCCCAAAATGGACTTTCGTGTTTCACGGGTGTTGTGAAGACGACTTCTTTGCCAGCCAAAAAAAGATTTTTCGGAAGTAAAAGCTTAAAATGCCATTAAGTGTCCTTTTCTGCTTACATTATGCCATCAAGTATAAGACTATACTTAAAATATTTCTTATGAAGCTTTGAAACCCAAGAAATATATAGTGGTAATATAAAGCAGAAGTTTTACAAGCCTATTAGCCACTTTGTAGACATCAGTGACATCTGAGCAGCACCATACACTGACAAACATGTGACAGATGACATACCTTGCTGATAGTTGCTACAGGTGAGTTTATTACCTTTTAAGCTTTTAGCTTCCAAATTTTCCAGAGTTGGAAGGCTGACAACTGTTCCCTTCACCCAGGAACTGGCAGTGCTGAAGTGAAGGTTGGAACTGCAGCTGAGGAAGAGAGCAAAATCTTGCATGAAGGGCTATAACTGCACTTGTGAGAGACTCTACTTGTTCTCCAAATATTATTAAGATAAATTAAGATATAAATTAACTATTAAGATAAATTGTTGTAAAAGAAATATTAATGATCTAGAACTTAATTCATCTAGAAAGTCTGTTTTTACAGTTTTTGGTCAACATTTGCACATGAACTAAAGTACAAAAAATGCAAAGCATGACAAATATGTCAAACTCGCCAATAAAGGTTCACATCTTTTCTGCCTGGATATTGCTTTTACAATCCTTATTACAAGGCTTTTCCAAAAAATGTTTGCAATGTGTTCGTGTTTTTGATCTACAATGCCTATTGAGTGCACAATGGAGTGCATTCTGAGCAACAGAGAAATGAAAAATAGTAATTTCCAAATACCTAAGAGATAATACAAAGATATCTATGGAGGAATCTTCTATGACTGCTCAAATGAAATCATTAAGTCACAGAAAGAAACTGTGAAAACTTCATCTCTTAGAAAATCCTTCTTCCTGAGCTGGAGAGAAAAAAAAGGATCAGCTTCTCCTTAGTGTGACAGTAATTCTTAAGTACATGTTCTCAGACATAAAATACAAGATCAAAGATCTTTCATTAGTTAACATCAGTATCACATCCTTTTATTACAGATCCTTTTATCCAGCTTTTGCATTGGGAGCCATTTTATATCGCTTTGGGTCTCAGAAAGATCCCTCCAACTAGTAACCTTATTAGTGGTAGAAAAAGGGAAGGAAAAGGGGATGGGGGAAGAAACATCCTTGGAGCATAAATTGGTGGCCATGATATTAAGGTGGCCCCTTCACCTACAGGCACTCAAGCTTTGTGACAGTCTGCATTTCCAGCCCAGGCTTCCTACCTTTCCACCATCGGTTCTCCTCACTTTTCCCAGATAAATCTCCACTCATAGCACCCTCTCACCCAACACTCCTCTTCATGCTCCTCTGCCAAACCTTTTGGCATGTTGTGTCTTCTTTGCTCCTGCATCATGCCTGTTCCACCATCCCTTCCACCTCTTTGGAAAACACTGTTCCAACACTGTATTCACCCTCTGAGAGAAGGGGTTCTGCAGCCCACATCAATTGTTTCTCCCTGAGCAGATCCAGTGGCAGCTCCGTGGCCACAGACCGGCCCCTTCTCCATTGCAGTAACTGCTTTAGAGTAGGGCATGCGGGATCCTTCACCCTTTTTGGCTGAAAACATAATCTTAAAGAAGTCAAAATGTGTAAGTGTTACTAGGAATACTGTTTCTACTTGTGGCACTTCATGGCTGCAAAGACTGTCACATTCACTCAAATGCTTCTTATTTAAAATTTGGCTGTATATTATAGACCCTTCCCTCCAGCACCCTTCCAAATTAAAGTCATAATTCCCATGGACAGTCACTCTTAAAACACACATTTCATATACTTATTTAAAAAGTATGTTTTTATCTTTTTCTTTTTCTTTTTTTCTTTTTTTTTTTTCCCAGAAACACTAAAGAGTAAGGTCAAGAATGCTGTCCAAACACAAGTCTTATTTAATAAAGCCAGTCATCCAACTTGAGTAATTAATGTTCTTGGTCTTGAAAGTCTCATTCTGAACACGTTCATTGGAAACAAATGCCCCATGTCAAAGAAAATGAACAAAAATGAACTTTTCTGGATAATAATTACAAGAGAGACAAAAATAAAGTATTGGCAGACTATATGCAAGCGGTTGCAGCACAGCACTTCTCATCACAGTGTAAGTTTAGGTACAATCACATGATTTTAATACATACTTCCAGAAGATTTCATCTGTTCTCAGCTGTTCATTATCTGAATATCTAAACAATTGCCAGAAAGCATTTGAAAATTTTAAAATATAAAAGGAAATCTTACAAAGTTGACGGTATCTCCTCACCACTTAAAGTACTAATAAGCAACTGCGTTATACAACCAGTGTTCAACAGACTGAAAATGATCTTTCCCAAATCCAAACGACATGCTTCTAAAGCTGAAAGTGATGGATTACAGCTGGCTGAGCTAGCCCTGCACTGTGCTCACTGCAAAAGCTGCCGTTCCTAAAGAACCTCTCAGCTTTCGGTTGGTTTCTGTAGTCTTATTAAAAACTGCAAAGCTCCTCTCATTTAACAGTAATAGCGTGGAGAAATGGAAAAAAAATAAAAACAACAAGGAAAAACAGCTAATTGACAGACACATAATAAGATTACTCTTAATCAAAATGGCATGTCTATGACCCAGAGATGAGGTTCTGTTTTGACGTCACTGTAACACATGATAAAAAATTGTAATTGGGAAAAAAACCATAAGAGTACAAAGCCTGAAAGTTTAGTATTAAGATTCTTTATGAAAATACATCTTTGCAATTAATGTTCAGTATCTGCATGTGACGTTCTATCCTTGTCTCCACCAGGAAGGGCACGTTCAGGACAGCAGTTGCAGAACTTGGCGTATGCGCTCACTCTTCTCCACCAGGCTTGAGTCTTCTGCATCCGAATCGTCAAGTTCTTTCATTAGGGCTTCAGCTTTCTGCACGGTCACATCTCGCGCGCTGCCTTTAAGTCCCTGCAGATAATCCAGTAGAATGGTGAAATAGTCATCTGGAACCTTCGGGGGGGCGGGGGGAGAAAAAGAAAAATAATATGTTTTACTTTCTTCTCTCAATGCTCCTTCACAGTCCTGCCAAATGATCACCTGAGACTACCATGGAACAGCAAAGGTTTTTGCATGTATCAGCGCCCACCACTGAGCACAGGGTTTCTTGCTAGCGTGGAAGCTGCTGGGAGGGCCAGGCCATCAGGACAGGACTGTCATGTGCTTCGACGGGCAACGATTCTGACAGCAAATTCTAAACAGATGTGGAAACATTGAGCAGCAAATGCAAACACTCCCTGCATATGATCTCAAACCTTCAAGGGTTGTTGGAAGAAAAAAAAATAAAAAAAAAGCACTAACCAAACCCTACTTTTGGAAATGTGTACGCAAACCATGCTGAATTCAAGTGACAACAGAATGCACACGTCTGAGTTAAGAATTTGGCTGGAAGTATCTGAGAAAGCCTGAGATTCTCCTCCTCATCCCTGCCCAAAATTATTTGCTTGCTAAGATGAGATATCACCAGCAAACAATAACTGGGGATTCTGACAAAATCCTTGTATGAGAGGACAGCAGCGAATTTGAAAATCAAATTAAATTCAGGCATATGGAAATCATTTTTAAATCACATTAACTTGATAGGCCCCCCTAACCAAACATGTCTCACATGTCTCTGCATTATCCCTACCTTTCTCTTCCTTTCTAATTACCTAGTAAGAGGTTAAATTTTAGCCTAACTGGTCCAATGTACAATTTAGATAATCATTACATTTAATTAATCTTGGCAATAATCTAGCAAAGATTTATTTATCACCTAGCAATGATTTATTTCCTACTTTAAACCATAAGCCAGTGTATTTTCAATAGCGTTAAGCTAACGGATCTACAATGAAGCCTATCTTAACTTTACACTGGGTATCTGGGGAACAAGCTTCCCTCAAAAAAGAGGATATTTCTTCAGTCAATCAGGAGATGTTAAAATCACCTCAGCTGGCAAATATTGTCCTCCATGCTTCATTTCACACACACATAATTTTAAAGGTCTTGTCAACAGGAGTCAAGCCAAGCACATACACAAGTATTCAAAGGACTGGAGGCTAACTAAGGGCTGTTTCAACTCTGCAAACTATCAACATTTCAGAGAGGGCAGAACTTCAACAGATAGTTAATTTACAACTTATTTCTGCGTCAACATTTGGCAGTATAACTTTGATCACCAAAACTTTTATCATTCCCAAGGCAGAGGAAGAAAGAACATTCCAATGCTGCCAAAATCTATCAGAGATATTACAAAGTAGTAAATCACAAATGAACTTACATGCTATGGAAAACCTCCTAATTCTTCCAACAAATGCTCTCATGTAACACAGATATTAAAAATAAGAATCGTACAGTAATACTGAAGTTGATTATACATGAAATGTTGTTATAATACACCAAACACATTGGAATATAATGAAAATGGCTATATTTTTGAAATCCTTCCTGCTCATAGTAAACTGGTACCAATAACACAAAAATGCTCAAACACATACAACTTCAACACGACAGTGCCCGTTTACTCAAAAACTCAGTCCTGGATTTTTAAAGCTTAATAACACTTCTGTATTAAATACCCCAGCCAAATTATCTACCTAATTTGTGCTTCTTTTTCTCAGACCTCATGATATAGTCATATCTCACTGTGCAGTTTGCAGTTATTATTGTATCATTTAAGGAAAGTGCTTAAAGGGGCAATTAAAAGCCTACTCTACACTCAGAAAGATTACATTTAGAAGCAGACATGTGGCTGCCTGAGGCCTACAGGCATTTAGTGTTCATCCCCAAGCACAAGTGCTTAAAAAGTCTGATTTTTTTTTTCTTCTTCTCTCTATTGCAACAATTTAGTTTATTTCAACAAGAGCACACAAAAAGCAGACAAGGGAGGATTATATTTTCTCCTCCTAACTTACATACACTATAGGGCCATAGCAGGGGCTGGGCTCTTGTCTCCTTCCAAATGTCAGCAAAAAGTTAATAGAATCAAAATTTTAATTCTTAAAATACAGTACTGCAAGAGCTGAAGTTTCAAGGATGCTTGGTGAGATTTTCCATAAAGGAATGCAACCCTTCTCTAAGATGAGGTTTTAGGGAGGGCTTGGAATTACATATGAAGACCTCTAACCACTGCTCTGGAAAGGAGAAGTGATGCTTACTGGATTCTTCTTTTTTTTTTTTTTTTTTTAAAACAAAAATGATCTTTTTCTCTTCTCTTTCTCTTTTCTTTCTTGTTTCTTTTTCTCCCTTGCATCCTAACTAGCTAATAGTTCACCTTGGACCTGACTGAAATGGAAGCATTGAAAAGAGAAATGGCTGCTGACAGCTTCTGAATGCTCAGTAGCTAAGTGCCACCATGAAGGAAGAAAATCCAAGAAATAGCAGGAAAAGAGACACCTATCTCTTAAAAATTATATTGTGTAACTCAAAGTATTTTCACATTGGCGGAGACCCACATATTTTGCAAAGCAAATACAGTTATTGGCACAGAACAAGCTGCTTTGCAGGTACCAATCTGTGAAGCTTCGGGGGATGCAGTCCGGAAGCTGAAGAAACCGACACAGTTATTTCCTACAGACGCTGTGCCAAACGACTCCAGATCAACAAATCATCCAGGGTTTATATTTTATATAGGATCCTGAAGAAGTATACACACTGTAGGTAGACAGGCTTGGCTCTGTAGCTGTCAGCCAATTAGCAGATGGATTTTAAAGAGGCTCAAAAAAAAAAAGTTGTAAAAATCTCAACGTATTTCTTACAGAAAGTGGCATATCAGTTTAGGAAACTTAATATACCTCTAAGCATGGCCTTTCATTAGGCATGCAGGTGACATCAAGAGATCAAAGATGGGGCTTAGGAAGGAAAGAAACTCATGTTTCCTTTTGTATTGTAGTCACGCTTGCATATCCGACAGATTTTACTCGGTAATGGACAGGAAGCTGGATCTGGATATGAAAACATATTCAAAGAAGCCAGTCTGTCCTCACCACAGTCCTCATCAAGGAAGAGATTTTTTTTTATCACATACTTAACTATAAGCACTTGGGTAGCTCTGCTAACTTTACTGAATATAAATGCAGATGTTAATCATTATTTATGCTTCATATTCAATGTATCTCACTTTATTGAGCAGAAAAAATATTGGAATATAAATAAATCACCACACTCTCAGACTTAAAAAAATATCTAGAAAGGAAGGTATCCATTTCAATGCTGAGAAACACAAATTTAAGTCATGCATGATATACAGATCCACTGCAAATGAATGCTAGTTACAGTTAATTATTTTCCAGGATACTTTAATACAACCACCCAAAGTAAACAGGTAAAAAGGGCAACACAATCATTTTGGTTGTGAACCAATATCTAGGTGGCTTTGAAGAGCGTATGTAAATTCTTAAAGGCTGATACAGACTTTAAGAAAATAAATAAATAAAGGACCGAGCAATCTACATACCTGCAATCAGATTTGTATTCTGTGACTAGTCTTTCAAAGTATTACACTGTGTGAATATTTTAGAGCTTCACGAAGCTCTGTTTTTAATTATATGGTTCTCTAAACATATTTCTAATCGTAAAGGTAACACTATGTCAGATAGTCGGATTAAGAAATGCTTAATTACTTGGGTCGGAAAGATGGTTACGCTTAAATGTTTAGATGCAAAAAAATAATGAGCAAAAGCTGACTGAATGTCAAATAAATGCATCAATAAATGAGTCACGGTGCAAAAGGCTAGATGGTTTGTTCTATCATGTAGCAAAATGAATGATCTGAAACCCTCCACTCAATACCATGAAGGTCAGACATTTGAAGGAAATTAAGCCTATGCGTTTTCCAAGTTATGAAATCAATGGTTTTCAGTAACAATGCCAGTCTAGCTCCTGATTTTCCTCTCTGCATTTAACATTGATATATAGTTTCACTTAGACTCACTCATATTTTAATGAGAAAATTATTTTACCATCTCGACAATATGGCACTATTTTGCACACAGTCAGTGGTACCTGAAGCAATACCAGCTACTAAGGACTCTCAGGTTCACACCTGACAGCATTGGGTTACAAAATCAGAAATTCAAACTAAGGACAACTCAGATATAAATCTGGAGCTTCCTGAGAATATATTAAATATGAGTTGTCTCCATTTATATTTGACATACGGCAGGTGTAAAAATCTATGTTATACAGAAGAAAGATCAGCCTTCAAAAGTAAAAGACTAATTTTCAACAGTTAAAATGACTGATCCTTTTAGTTAAAAATTATAGCAACTGATTTATAAATTATTAAAAAAATTAGAAAAGTGTAAGGCAACTTTTGGTTAATAAAGGGCAGCTATAACTAATGCATAAAACTTTATATAGCCAGGTATTAAGAAAAATGAGAGTTAATACAAACCTTCTCCTTGTCATACATGTGCAAAAGCAGCCACGTTTGTCTTGTCTTTTGAAATTTCCATTCTTCTGGTTTCTCAGACCAGCTGCAATAAATAAAAGAAAAAACATGGCCTAAATAGTCTGATGAAAATATTCATTCTTCGTTACTCATTTCGCATAATTCCTCCAGCAGCTCTGGATGTACAGTACTGACCTTCCTAACACCTTATTAAACAGGTATGAGCACACGTATTGTGCAGCGGCAAAAAAAAGAAGCTGGCTGCCCAGCTTTCACACAAAATGGAAGTTAATATTTACCAATTATTTTAAATTCATAAGAAATCCAAAGGACTGGAGAGACTCATGGCAGAACATGCATCTCACACCAATGGTTAAAACACATCTTGGGACACAGGAAATAAAGTGTGGGGCTCAGATTTTATCTCAAGGTGCAACATAAAAGTTTACTGGAGTGCCTCACTCCTCCCTGGAATTGTGATTCCAATATTCAGCTCCAAACTTCCGGCTGCTTCAATACTATACAAGTGAATACAGAAAACAAATGACTAACATCTGCAAATGTTCTTTGGCTGTTCATGAAACACGTTTCAAGTATGCAAAATTGTAACTGGCTTAAAATGGCAAGTTTACATATAGCATGAGGATTAGTTGAAAGCAGGTGTATTTTGTTTTAAGTGAAGAGACAAACATATTTAGTTCCATAAATGAAAGAGCAAACTAACAAATCCCACCATAAAATACAGCTTCCCCCCTCCCCACCCTCGAGGCTATATTCATAAAAAAATAGTACCTTACAATGTACAAAAGCCTGTCAAAACACTGAAATATTATTTAAACACCCAGCAGAAAGTATGAGAGAAAAACAAACAAACAAACCAACCCACAGATTTTAGTACTTATTTGATTTTCCTCTAAAGGAAAACAAGTCTCCAGAGGGTGGGATGCCAAGATGTCTGTAACGTTCCAGCGTGTTTTATACAGCAACAGAGAGGTCAGAAATCAATTGAAAAGCCAGCTGGGTGTGAGAATTAGTATTGTTTAAACATTGTCAAGTCTAATAAAGCACAAAAGTGCCCATATTCAGTGACGGCTGCACCAGCAAATATATTGTTCAGTCAATTAAAGGAAATAGGAAGAACATGACCGCACATTTATACAGAAGGGAAAAAAGCAGCCTCTGCAGAAAGCCTAAAGGAAAAAAAATAAGCAAACAAAATAATGTCTTCTTAATAAAGCCGGGTAAGAAAAAGCCTGCCTAGCAGCCTACCTAGTAGCATCTGCACTAAGCAAAAATCAATTAAAAACCTCTGTGACCAAAAAACAAGGTAAAGTTAGACAAATAATGTTAAACCAGGGAAGACAGACCATAATCAAAATATGTAAAATTTCACGTGATCAAGGATAAATCCATGAAGTGATTTGTAAGTCTCTTGTGTGGCAATTACAATAAATAGGCAAAAGACTGGGGGGGCAGGAACTTGCACAAAAGCAAGAGCTCCAAAGCCAAATGCCAAAAGTTATAGAATCAAATAAAAAAAATAAACATCTCTCCCACTGCCACCACCAATCTGTAAATAGAAGTATTTGCAGGGAAACACGATTCAGCCATTGGCTCCCGCTGCACTACAGTGACTGCCTGCAGTACAGAAGTTGCAATGTGAGGAACCCACAGCAAACACGGTGAAAAAAGGGCCTTTCTTGCTGGTACTTTGTGGGCAAGGCGCTTGCTCGTCTGTACGCAATTTCTCTGCATAGCAGACATTTGGCTCTCAAAATCGAGAGGCTGGAGTTTCTGCAGGAAAAGCCTTCTATTAGTTTTAAAAAATAGGATGGGTGCCGTTAAAGGAAGCCTATCAGATTCACTTTTCTAAGCAGGTGCATGAAAGCTATTATAGGAAATGCCATACATTTGCACAGCAGGAGCAAGAAGGTAAGTCTAAAATTCTAAATAAGCACGGCAACAATTTGTATTACAACTTGTGCAAAATAAAAAGCACAAGCCAAATGACAGATCTGAGACTTTGCCCTGTGAAAAGTGTTCCTCCTCTTGTGAAAATCTTTCAAATGTGGCTCTGTTTCTGTAAGCTACACTACTTACTTATACATTTGCAAGTTATATCCATTCCACGCATTAAACTAATCCTACACAAATTTCTTACATAAATTTATTCCCAAAACATGGTTGACAACTCCTCAGCACAAGCGTAATACATCCTTAAAAGGCTTAACCATGTCTTCCTTATCAATATATTGACAGAAGTCTTTTTTTGAGACATTTTAGCATAAGCAGACATGCAGAAGACGACTGCCAGCATGCAGGGCAGGGATTCCCCAAAATATTGTAGGAAAAAGAGAGCAGGAAGGGAAAGCAGTCAAATTGGTTCCAGAAACACAGTACGAGAAAAACATTATCATTACAAATTAGATTCAGAAAGACAATAATGTATCTGTTTAGACTACTGCCAGGAGAAAATGCCATAAAGCTGCCATAATTATTAAATAATATCCTATGTGTAGACAAGAACTATGCTGACAAACTGCCATTTAACTCATAGAAATTAACTGAAAAGATTATTAGGTAAGAGAAGTTTTACAAAACCAAAAAAGACAGACAAGTAACTGGTTATGACTAAAAACATTTCTGAGAGCACTATTTCCTGCTAAATGCAAACAATTTTAGCCAGAATATTGCACTTCATCCAATTCTGTGCCCTTTACAGTCCAGCACAGCTCCTGATGCATCTTCCACACTGGATATCTGCCCAAGGTAAAGCAGACCCTGGAACAGAGCGTTGACTTCTCCAGCCATGATTAGTACCCAGGACACCTTTGAAGGGTTTCTTTAGCCCTAAGGACCAGGTCACATCAGAACTTCCACTCCTGTGATTTAGCCACAAAGACCCTCATGTCTTTCTTACAAGCTGCCCTGAATCCTACAAGGAGGAATGGACCAAAGGATCTGTTCATTACACTGCATTAAGAGCTGCATCGCAAGGACATAATAGAACTGCTAAAAATCAGTGTTCTGTAACACTCTGCAAAGATTATTACATTCTTCACACCCCATTTACCCAGATACCTTTCCATTTTTATACCCTTAGTTATTAATTCTAGTGAAGCTCATCTGTAATCACCTACGTGTTCTCCTAAGTGTCCTACATCGGAGGGTGAGCAGAAGGGAAGGCCCTTGGCTAAGGCTCATAGGAATCAGGTTAAGCACTTTGCTCCCTCACAGCTCTGCAAACCAGCCAGATCATTTCTGTGCTCAGAGCCCTATCAGAAAAATGTGGATAACAGGTGTTTCCTCAATAAAGTACAACCATACTTTAAACAATTCCCTTAAAGGTATTTAAAAGCTTGATTTAACACTGACGGAAATTTTATACAAGCCCTGTAATGCAGATAATGCTTTAGGAATAATAATTTTTTGTCCAGTTATAACAACACAAAATTATTTAAAGGGGAATGTACAAGTGTTTGTTTTTTATGGAGGATATTCAGTCTTTCTTCTATTGCTTTCAGGGCATTTAAAATCCATTTCTTTTAGAAAGATAATTATTTTCTTTACCAACAACAGATATCCACAATGACCAAAAGCAGCTTTGCCAGAAACTAATCTTGGGGACCCGACAGGAACATGGGAACGTCGGCGTGCCGAGAAAGCCGGCTTACCCTGTGCCCTAAAACTGTATTAGAGATAAGACAGAATCTCATTGCAAGCATGCGTGATGCTGAATTTCCCACTTGGAAAAAATATGCAAAATTAATATTCTATCTAGATTTCTAAATAAATTATTAGAATAGTTGTAGTTGAAATCAGACTCGCTAACTTTTGATGATAATTAAGATAGATGTAAGAGTCATATCTTTTACTTATGATTTTCTCCCATTACGGATGATTCTGTTCATCAGCTCCGATTCCTGGGAAAGTATATGCCAACACTCTCAAATCCAGTGCAGAA